TGCAGCTTTCATCTGTGGCTGACAGGAAAACAAAAGGAAAAGATAATTTGTTTTTATTGTGCAGGGACCAAATTACAGAAATGTATCCCATCCCAGGCCACCGTCATTGGTCAGAAAAGAAAAAGAACGACAAGGAAAACATCTCTTTTTATATTAATCATCAACAAAGAGCAGGCCGATCTGTCTCTTTTTTCAAGATGGGTTGGCCAAAAATGGACAAAGACACTGCCTGGAGAGGGACTTAATGTGTGATTTCTAGAACATTTGTGTTCAGAGACCCGGTAGTCAGATGCCAATTATTTCCTACTTCCTAAACACGGTGGGGAGTTTTCTATGAAATTCCGACTGGTAAAAGGAAATCATTCAATAAATGCAAGAATTTAAAATCTATGTATGCTCTGCGTATTCTCTGCTGATTGGGCCAGGGGGGTATAAGTTGAATTGGGTACGAGCCAACCTGGGTACAAGTTAACTCGGATGCGAGTTGACTAAGCACCGTTGATATATCGATATTATCGATATCGCTGATGTTAGTTCATTTGGTAATATCGGTATATCGAAAATATTGGATTCTGGAGAAATATCAAAAATACTGAAATTTCTTAAACATCGATATTGAAATATATATCAAAAATATCGCTACTGAGGAACAATCTTTATTGAAAAATACGAAAGTGCATCGTCACATTACCGTAATTTTCGAGAAGCAATTTTTGTGTGATCTCTATCAGTGGTACTTTGGATCTCCCAAATAATTTTGCCCTTTTTTTTCCCGTGGATATTGTCGGACAGACAACTGACGGGCGTACTTAGATGGAGGGGTTCTTGGTCAAGGATTCCTTGACAGTGCTGACGCAGAATGGCGAGTGCTCCATCCAACTGTGTCTTGGCGACATTACCAAGCTGAAACACAAGGACAAAGTGGATGTGATTCTCATATCAGCTTTCCAAGGTAAAAAGGATTTTCTTTTCAGGAGAATCGAGTGCAGACATTCCACTAATGAATTCTGTGCATAAGTGAACTCATAATAGTGGCAATCTTTACTTTTATAGGACACCTAGATTTTTGTTTCACACAATGTTTAAACTTTGCACAAGATGTGTATCAATCCAAAACTATCTTTGCAGCCTTTGAAAGTATTCCTAGTCCTCCTTGTATCCAACTGAAGGGTTGAGAAGTCATTTTGTGGATGGCATTGCTTGAAAATCTAAATGTGAGATTCTTGCCAGCTTTTTTAATTGACGAGTTCTATTGTGGCGTGATCCTTGAGGTACTGATAGTCATGATTTTGAGCCCTACTTATAAATAAGAATATTTCACATAATAGCTAGATTCACAGTTGAAATAATCAACAGGGATTGGGAATGATACTTAGATGTAATACACACTGCTGTCAGCATAAAAGTTTGGTGAAATAATGTCAGATGTTTTATTTTTCATGTGGAAGTTTGGGATAGATATGTTACAGTCATGAATGCACTGACTTGCTTGGCTGCAATTGTAAACTATTGCAGTTCTCAAAATTCACACTTTAACCACTTGACCAGAGTCCATTTTAAACAGTTAAAAGGTCCTCGGAGTGGTTTTTCTGTGGCCAGACTTAACCACAGTGGTTGTCAAGTTGTGTTTCACAGTACTTAGTCTTTATGTCCTCAGATGTTCGGTCTGAGGTTTTACGTACATGTATTAGACCAAGTCAGATGATGGCCTTTGTGAAAAGCCGTTCATCATAATTCTAATCATTTTCATTTTTCTCTTTGGGGCATAACTTCAATTCAGATTTAACTGCGTGCGTTTTATTTTGACTGTTGAAAAGGGCTTAGCTAAAGACATACATTTTTGTATTTTGTAAGATTTTTCCAGTCTTTATTCATGCTCTGAGCTGTGAATTTTCATCAGTAACTCTGGCCTGGAGCAATGATATTAGGAACATGTATGGAATGGATGGAAGTTTTTAAAAAAACGACATTCCAACAACTATTTAGTTCCAAAATGTGTACTTCCTGTTCAGGAAGTGCAAAATGTGAATCTTCCATATACATGTATGATTATTCTGTGTTTGATTTTAGCCACAAAACTTCCAAACCAATTTGGTTTTGATTTAGCTTGTTGCAATTTGTTCCATTCTGAAAATATTTAATAAACTTTTCTCAAATGAAAAGAAATGAAACGGTCAAAAGTTTTATATAACTGAGACTACAGGTAGGAATTCATTCCTAGTGTGGACATTCCTTTTCTCTTAATTAAGTTTTAAAAACTTGGTGAAACGTTTTATTTTTCTTGAACTGCAAACACCTTCAAGCTTGAAATTGGTTGACGTTTTCCTCGACGATTCCTCTTCCTTTTGCTACCAATAACCTCAACCCAGAAATCCTCTAAACTTGTTTTATAGAGATAGGAAAAAAATCGTGTGTGGGCCTGGCATAATCCACACCAGGTTCACACATTGTGCATTATGTGGATCCACTGCTGTGGATTCGCTAAGTGTTCATAGGTCCACACAACGATGGCAAGGTTGGCGTTGTTGATGTTGAAGAGGCTGTGAAACTTGCTTCGCTTTTCTGCAGAAGAATGAACCAGCCCCCCCTCCCTTGCAAAAATGTGTAACCCCGTGTTTGCCCATCGTTGCGCCCCATCCTCAGGTGACTACTCCCCCACCCCGACATCCGTCATCGGGGCGTTACTGCGAAATCTGGAGATAAACGTGCAGACTTTGGCACGAGACAAAGAGGAGGATTTGCGGAAGCTCTACAGCTGTTGGTGGTCCCGGCCCTTACCCGCTGACAAACCCTACAACAGACTCCTGTGCTTTGAAACCAAAGTGTGAGGAAGTTCTTCTTATAAGGGTCAGGGAACATGTCCCAGCCTGAAGTGGTTGGAACATGTTAGTGTTCTAACCGTTGATCGCATACTTTCTCTACTGGCAATAGACTATTAGTATTATTCTGGTTTATTCAATTGAAATATACAGGGTAGTCAGCCACATCAGGGTCGCTGATAAAACCCTATTTACAATAATCTAAAGGCATCACATATCAGTAGGAGGGAATATAAAATAAGAGTATGGAAAATTATTCTTAATTAAAAAAGTAAAAATAAAAATTGTGAAAAATTAACTTATAAATCTACGTTCACCAAACTGGGGGAAAAAATTTTTTTAAAAATTTGAAGACAGTTCATTCAGGACAGTTGGTGAAATGATAAATTCTCACTCCAACATACGAGTAAAAATATTACAAATTACAAAAGTTCAGCTAAAACTGGAATTGTAGATTTCATATGTCTATCAATTTTACACATTGGTACAACTAACTAGTGTAGTCGTGGAACTGTCTCTGAGTATTCTGGTAGTTGTGTTGTTCAATACGAGCGATTCACCATAGTGCGCCACCAAGAGTTTGCAATGCTACATGTACCTGCAGCTGAGATTGACGTCAGGGGCAAAAGGAAATAAACTTTGGGACAATCAAAATTCCCGAAACCTCAGTCAGAATTTTGTTAAATTTGAAATTTACAATACGTTTTTAGTGACTGGGATCAGTTTTTAGCATGATTGGCTCAACAGGTTTCACTCATCTAGAACATCCAAATCGAAGAAAGCACTTTTCAGGTGGTGTGGTAGTCTCGGGGCTCGAAATTGGGCTAATCGTCACGGGAACAAGTACTTAATCCCTAGACAGCTGAATTTGTCACTTCATGGGAACAAGTAGCTCCCACACAATATTAAAGACACATGTTCAAGAAAAAAAGGAAAGACCACGTTGCTTGCTGTTGCTTTTGTTTAAATTAATGACACTGATAACTACACGGCTTTAAAGCCTTGATCGAGTTGTTATTTTTACGGGCTAGCATGCGACGTACAACTAGTAGTGAGTACAGTACACAACCAGCTGGAATCTCAAACATGTTTAGTGATGCTAAGCAAAAAGTCGGGCTCCGGGCCTTTCTAACATGCATATGCGTGCAGACGTAAAAGGGAGCTAACTGCAGCAATCCAGCGTTTTTGAAACTTCGGTTTCGCTGGTTCCAGCTATTTAGGAGCATGGTGCAAAACCACATGTTTAAGCTATGATTGGAACCAGCGAAACTGAAGTCTAAGCCGAATCCACTCGTGTGGCTTGAATTTACGCACGAGGGGTCAGTTTCCATACAATGTGACACTGGCCGCTGGTGTGCGCCTGTGTACGTTCATGTGTGTACATGCATCACATGCGAGACTGTGGCATGCGCTGACATCGTAAGCAAAATTCGTACCGTGTTATTGTTCCGTGACAAGGCTGATCTGAAGTGAAGTAAAAAAGTTCAGGTATTTTTCATGACAGAAGTAGAAACGAACGGTAAAAATGTTCAGGTACGTGGAATCAAATGGGCATAAGTACTTGCACCCGTCTTTATGATATACAGGCGCATTTCTGAGGCAAACAGGCACATTTTAGCTACCTGGGCCCGTTAATTTCGAGCCCTAAGTCTTGACCCCAAGAGTTTTGAAGGAAAGACGTTGGTGGATTTTTTTCAGTGTCAATGCAATGAAGTAAAATGACCATACAGAAAGTCACTTGCTCTGGTAAACTTTATATTGAATACAGCAAATGCGATTTTGATGTACATGTAACGAGTGACATTACACTGTCATCAAACCAAAATTTCTTAATTGTTCAAAATTTCAGGATTTTAGCAGTTTTTGCCCAGCTAAGAAGCAGTGAACATCGTTTTCGATTAATAAACTCTTCCATTTCGGTTTCAACAGATTTGGGTCTGGGCGCCCCCAGGAGATGGTTAGCGATGTGTTCCGCTGCCTGGTGCCCTTATTCAACAACAAGGATGGCACAGTTATTGCACCCCTTCTCAATACAGGGAACCAGGTAAAATGCTCGTTTTCAAGATTTGAAATTAACATGGAATGCATTATAGCCTTTCAAGAGCTTTCGTGACGTGACTTGTGGTGGTCTAGTGCGGGGTGCTTGTTCGGCGTTTTTCCCACAGTTAGGGAACCGCTAACTCTGATCGTTGGCATGAAGAGCTTCCGAGCACCCGACACTCTGGTTTTCAAAGTACTCATGTCCAGTGGCTTGAAGCGTTCAATGAATGCTTTCACAGATGAATATTTCCTTTTTGGATATTGGCTTCAGTCATTCGAATGGATGATGTATTTTTGGTGTGTGTTCAACAATTTAATCCCCCCAAAACTTTGAAACCACAACGCATTATTTCACCGCCACTGTCTAGTCCACTGCCGATGTGTCATACATGCATGCACCAGGATGCATGGAGAGCTGCAGAGTCAACTGTGTGTGTGTAGGGGTGTAGAAATGGGTGTGCAGGCGTGGCATACATAGTGTGGACCTCTGCACAAAAGAAGTCCTCATAATGCAGGGTGCAATGGCGTAGTGTGGACTCGCACACGTCCACACAATGTTTTCCCCTCTTCAAAACAGCTTCAGAGGCATTTTAGGGTCAAGGTTATCTGTGGCAAGTTGGCAACATGAAGACGAACAGTCCAGGAAATCATGATCAAATCAAATAAATTTCAACCAAATTTCTTGCCCAGTTTCATCTTTAAAACAATATTTTCAGTAAGGAATTTTTTGCACTGAAGAATTGTAGATGAATTGAAAATTTGGGTGTAGAAATACCGATATTGAAAGGTATGTATGTACATACGTGTACATTTGTGCATAATTTGTTGCAAGCTGAAAATTAATTTAAAAACTTCCAATTTTTTATGTCTGTCCGTTTGTTTTGGAGCATTGTTACCAGAAATTTTTAGAAATCCTTTTGGCTTGAATCTAATTACTTCTGATGTTTTGCTGTGAAGGGCTTTGACCAGGTGGTCATGTTGAAGGGGATGGTGGAGGCTGCTGTCAACTGGATGAAGGCCGGCCTGCCCCTGCGCCTGCTGAAGATTGTCCTGTTCTGCCAAGGCAAAGACGATGAGGCCATGGCAAAGGCCGCCGAGAGGGACTACTCCAGAGTTTTCAAGAGCTTTGAGGACCTGAAGGAGTGCTACATGATGAAGGACTTGACCCCCAAGGTACAGCAGAACGTTGCTTGTTCTCAGGATTCTGAGAGTCCACAGGAACAGGGCAGTGAACAACTCATACCCGAACAAGCCAATTCAGACTTCAATCAATAACACTTTGGGTTGTTTGCGTGGTTGAAATGAAAGAGAGACTGGACTGGCAATTTTTTTTCCAACTTGAATGGATTCCCTCATATGAACTTCGCAGCTGACTCCATATTTTGTCACTTAACATACTAAAAGAACCTTAATTCATTGCACTGAAAGGTTCAAAGAGAGACTGAACTGGCAAGCTTTTTTTTCCAACTTGAATGGTTTGCTTCATAAGAGCTCAGCAATTGACCCCATAATTTGTTACTTAACAAACTGAAAGAACCTTAATTCATTACATAGTGGGGTTCAAAGAGAGGCTGAACTGGCAACCTTTTTTCCATTCAAATGATTCCTTTATAAGAGCTTAGCAACCAACCATGGTCAGATAGCAAAAGAGCCTTCTTCACAGTTGGATCGAAAGAGAGGCAGCACTGGCAGGCTTGTTTCCTCTTGAATGGATTCCTTCTTAAGAGCTTAACATCCAACTTTCTGTTTAATCGTAAAGTGGAAGAACCCTCATGACACGGTCGGTTGACAGAGAGGCTGCACTTGCAACCTGCGGCCACTAATAAAGCTGAACATTTTACGATTCAGACCTACCTGGAGTGAACTGGAAGAGTGTCCATTTTGCAAATGTAGCCATGCTTTCATTTGACGTACATGTACATGTAGTTACTGTATGTATGCTGAGATGGTCCACTTGATTGCTATGTTCTAGCTATAAAAAATCTACATGTAACTTTGAAATGTATGAGAAATTTAATCAAGCTACTTTAGAAATGTTTAATTTTCTGAGATGGTTCTTTTGCATGCTCATGGTTTGGATGGAGGATAGTAAATTTTTGATTGAAAGGATAATAGTGATTTCTAATTAGAAGTTGCTCGAGAAGTTTGAATTGAAAGTCCATATGCTGCCTTAAAGGAGCAGTTTTGCTCCAATATTAATTGTCAACCAGTTTCCAACAAGCTACAATGACTTTCAAAGTCCTGTTGAATAAAACGCTTGTACTCTGACATATATATAAATATGACTTGTAAGATACTTTCATCTACAGCCCTGGAAGAGTAGCTTGTAAAAAGGCATTCATGTCAGTAAACAATCAGTCAGTACAGATTTGTAAGCCTTCTCCATCAAAAAGATGCCTTTTGAACTGCTTAACTGAATTATATACATCTATGTTTTCTAGCTTTGAATATATTTAATTGTAGGTTTAGACTTGTCTTTAAGAAAAGAAAGGAAGCGTGCATGTGTATATTGACAGGAAATATTGAATGAAAGTTTTGAAGAGAAATCGCTAGAAGAGGACTCGGATTTCCTTTGCTTTTTTTGTGAGGGAAAAGGGGAGTGAACAAAATGGCATCAATTTCTAAATTTTTTTTGAGATTTTAAAAATTCAGACATTTCTCTGTCCATTTTTTTATCTTTTAGTTTTGAAAGACTAATCATGAACAGTGTAATGAAATTGCATCTTTCTATAAATAAATGAAAATGTTTTTAAATGAGCTGTTTATGTTAAGGATACATGTACATGAGAGTTTTTCTTGCCATAGCAATTTAGAGAGAGAATTATGTATATAGATATATAACAGTAACCAGCTTGCCACAATAAAGAACTTTGTAAATTATGTCATCTCATTTTCTGGTTGTCCCTTCCTTGAAGTAATAATTGTGTAACTGCCCTTAAAAGTTGAAATTGATCGAGATTTATTAAAATGCTGAACTTAACCTAAAATGTGTCCCCGACCTCTGACCTCAGAACATAAGCCTTAGAAATCGCCTGTTAGGTTTATAATCATTGATTGTATTGAAGAGCTTGCATGGTTTTTAATATCGCTATCATTGACAGTGTACTTAAAGCTCTTTTCTTTGGTTAGATAACTTTCTGGCATTTGTATGTGTATGGGTTTAAAGATTCGAGAAATGAGTTAAACTGCAGTGTGCACTTTTGAAAGGTAAATTTGACATTTTTGTTTGGGTGTGTATTTGCCTGGTGCCCTGCAAACCATAGGAAGTCACCGTAGATTTTGACGTCTACCTGTCCTTCAGCCAGCACGACACAAAGGTCGTTGACCTCATCACTGACAAACTGCACTCCAACAAGTTGGACATATCCGCATCTTCGATAGCCGCCAAATGATGAACATGGACTCGGTGTGGCAGAAAGACATGCATGACGTCATGATGCACAGTGCTAGGGTCATCACAGGTAAGAAACGACAGGTTTTCTCCAAAAAAAAGAAAGAAAATGAGAGGAAATCTTGTTAGCAGGCATGAAAAAATGTTGGGAGATCAAATTTGTGGTTCTGTGTAACCCAGTATGAGGGAGGTTTAGATGCACGTAATATGCAAGTTTACATGAATGGAAATGCGACAACTTTTATTGCGCTGGTGCGCGGGTGTTGAATGCCTGTTTGAACAAAATGTAGGGCCTGCATCTTTCCCTTTAATAAAAGGACAAATGATCAATCTCATCCAGTAAATCACTCAGAAGAAGTTTAATCGGTCATCATAAACCAAGTATGAAAAAATTCCAGGCCATTTAAAGTATAGAATGTGAAAGCTCACCGACAGTTTGAAACAATTTTGTTGGCAAAAAATTTACAAATCGGTCATAGTTTTTCAACAATTATCTCACCCCAATGACCACTCATATAGAGATATTTAGATGCTAAACGTTTGTTCTGATTTGACGCTCACAACCAGTAATGGTTAAAGGAAATCAGATTTTTATCTGACAGTGACCCTTGTAGATGAACCTGTTCTAAAGGCCAATCTTTGTCGTTTCAATTTTTGTGTAATTTTCCTATACAGTCTTGACGCCCAACTACCTACAGTGCACGGCCTGCATAGAGCAGTACAACATCGCCATGTGCTGCTTCCGCAAAGCTATGAGGAATATGCTGGCGCCATTCTACGTCGAGGAGAGCCCCCTGCCTACGTACATGACACAAGTGCAGTATGTAGATTGCAGGTAAAAGAATTACACTTTTAAAGGGTAGCTGCAATGAATTTCTTTAAATGCAGACCTTCAAAATGCACCTTTGTGTCTCAGTTAACCTGATTTTCATCTTTTGCTTCAGTACTTCAAAGGGTATTTTACTGCCTTTTTGGTTTTTATGCTAATGAATATTTGGATATATGAATATATTATGGAAATAATGAATAATTCCATATTTGTGAGTAAATGTCTAAACTGTGTTGTCATTTTAGGAAGAAGCCTCAATTTTTAAAAAAATTGTCTCTCACTGACCACATCTGAAGAGAACGGTGATTGGACATAAAATATTTAAGACATTGATTCTAGACTACACACTGTTTTCTATTTGTTTTTGGTTTGTTCCATTTCGCCTTTCCTTCCCCCCAAAGTCCACGACTAAAATACTTTTTACTCTTCTCCCCTGGGAATTTCACTCAGCAGCATTTCTTTTTTCCCAAATTCTTTTACTGCATCCAAGAATGACCCCACTGGAGTCACTTATTCGTCTTATGTTTGAAATTCCTCCCAACTACCACCTCTCCCCACAAGAAATCTGCAAGCTCACTGAACATTTGGCTGATTGCAACTCCGTTGAAGAGGCCACTTTCAACCGCCTACTAGACTGATCCGCCTTCTGCACAAGTAGATGCTTCTGGTGCAACCCATGCTAATTTCTAATAATTATTATAAATCCTTTTGTTTATAATTAATGTAACCAAATACCATTTTATTCCCTCCGCAACCTATCACAACAATTACCTGGGCCTTCATTTTCGTTAATAATGGTTATACTACACTCAATTTAATGGTACTTAATGTTTATTAGTTTGTCCAACCCTCGTAATATACTTTTATCCCACTTTTGCAACACCTTAACAGTCCATTTTAATAATAACTCAAATCTTATTACTTTCAATTTAAGTCTAATTCATGCAACACTGATATAATTATATTATTAATTTTTTATTCTTAACCAATTGTACGTTTACATAATTATTCAATTATAATGCACAAGTCACATCTACCGTCACTGTCAACTCTTTATATTTCTATTTACATTTCATAATTACACATGCTTACTTTTCTTCCGTTATTCCATTTAGTTATAAATCTTACATAATAATAAATATTTATTAAATTTTATGCATTTGATTTCCCACTTCTCTTTTATTCCATTTAGTCAAAACCTTATATACTTAAAAAAAAAATTCCTTTTAATCCCTCAGTTGCTATTCACTAAAACCTCCTCATATTGACATAGACATGCTCCCCACCCATTTAAACCATGATTATGATCTTCCTCCCTTACTACCCACCCTAAACTACATCTCCCGNCCCTAATGGAATCACTTATTCGTCTTATGTTTGAAATTCCTCCCAACTACCACCTCTCCCCACAAGAAATCTGCAAGCTCACTGAACACTTGGCTGATGGCAACTCCGTTGAAGAGGCCACTTTCAACCGCCTACCAGACTGATCCGGCTTCTGCACAAGTAGATGCTTCTGGTGCAACCCATGCTAATTTCTAATGATTATTATAAATCCTTTTATTGATAATTAATTTAACCCCCAATACCATTTTATTCCCTCCGCAGCCTATCACAACAATTACCTGCGCCTTCATTTTCATTAATAATGGTTATACTACACTCAATTCAATGGTACTTAGGTTATACTACACTCAATGCAGTGGTACTTAGGTTATACTACACTCAATGCAATGGTACTTAGGTTATACTGCACTCAATGCAATGGTACTTAGGTTATACTACACTCAATGCAATGGTACTTAGGTTATACTGCACTCAATGCAATGGTACTTAGGTTATACTGCACTCAATGCAATGGTACTTAGGTTATACTGCACTCAATGCAATGGTACTTAGGTTATACTGCACTCAATGCAATGGTACTTAGGTTATACTGCACTCAATGCAATGGTATTTCAGTTATATTAGTTTGTCCAACCCTCTTCATATACTTTTATCCCACTTTTGCAACACCTTAACAGTCCATTTTAATAATAACTCAAATCCTACTACACTGTTAAGCCTCCTATAATTTTTTCATTCTTAACCAATTGTACCTTTACATAATTATTCAATTATAATGCACAAGTCACATCTACCGTCACTGTCAACTTTTTATGTTTCTATTTACATTTCATAATTACACATGCTTACTTTTCTTCCGTTATTCCATTTAGTTATAAATCTTACATAATTATAAATAATTATTAAATTTTATGCATTTGATTTCCCGCTTCTCTTTTATTCCATTTAGTCAAAACCTTCTATACTTAAAAAAAAAATTCCTTTTGATCCCTCAGTTGCTATTCACTAAAACCTCCTCATATTGACATATACATGCTCCCCACCCATTTAAGCCGTGATTATGATCTTCCTCCCTTACCACCCACCCTAAACTACATCTCCCGTCCTTCTTTATAATCCCCCATCACCTAATAATGCCCCATAACCTAAATAAAAAACTTCTTCTCGAAAACAGACTTGCTCCAACATCTACACCTGGCAAAAATTAGCTAAACACAATTCCTTCAAACAATATAC